GAGAACCGGAGACCCTTTTTACTGGAATCAAGTAATTCCATCTTGGTCCTCAGGAGGGTAACAACGCATTTGCATTTTGATTCTTAATTGAGGATACATGTGGGATGTCAATGGGCTATAGCATCTACTTACCATCAGGTGGCCTGTATAAAAAACGTGGGTGACGGAGGAGACGAATATGGAATATTTCAGAAGGATCTAATGAATTGCGATAGGTGACGTCATAATCATCTCGATAGGCAGCAGCATATTATCTAAAAGCTTTCTTTTTTGCTCGACTTTGTAGAGTCGGGCATCAAAAGCGATTTCCCGGGACCGATACGTCTTAAAATCTTTAGGAAAAACACCTACTTCTTTTTAAAACGGCCAGCAACGCACTTGCAATTACCCTGGTATTGCAATTGTTCTTGTTCGGTGGCAGTCACTTAAAATTTCTTATATAAAAAAAAATCCTGTTATGAGTTCAAATAATAAACTACGCTAATATCTGTTTGCCAAGCGTATGTAGCAATCATGGCAAATATCTCCCTTAGGTGGCAACACTGGACAAGGTTCTGTTCAGTAGGCATTTTCGATAGGATGTAATTAATGAATGAATAAGTAAATAATAATACTTATTTTGCCGCTAAATAATACATTTCAGTTCGCTATGAATATGAACATCCTTTTTTATTCTTTACGAATTGCTAGCTCAATAATATATAATGACGTAGGTATAACTTATAAAGATTAATATATAATTTCAATACTGTAATAATTTATAAAATTATCAAATTCAAATGCAACTATTCATCATCGCATCTCATAAGATGGATTTCCGATTAAAACTTAGATCTCCGAGAACACGTAATGGCTATTAATATCTAAACCAATGTTTCAGAATAAAGATTTTATCTAATAATACCATACTTTAATCGCCAATCAGCTTTGCTTAGCGTAGAAAGTAAAGCGCTAGAATATTTCAATTTTCAATTAGGTATAAAAAATAGATTGTATGCAAGCTGATAACCAAATTAAAATACGTTATCACAGGAATCATAATTAGCGAAACATTTGGCATATTACTATATAATCAAGGCTTTAAATCTTATTATAATTACCAAATAACAACATTACAATTCGTAACTTAACACAAAGTATGTAATAAGTAATGACAGACAGTGAGCGAGGTAAAGAGAAGCCCCATAAAATTCGGCGCGTGTATACGTGCAACTCTTAACCCTAAAATACCGAAACCGTAGCAGCTCGGTAATCTGAGTGACGCGTGGTCGGTTTGACCACGCGTTAGTACTCACGATAGGTGCTCTTTTAATCCTATTAAACAAGCCGAATTAGGTCACCTCTTCACGTTCACGTCTGTAACCTAAAGAAAACCCATTAGGCCAAGGCAAAGGCATCAAACATAAATGAAATTAATTTGTTTAAAGTTTTAATAATATTCTTAAAACTGTAAGCTATGTTATCCCCTTACATTTTAATGCAACGAATATACTATAACTAGGAAAAAATTTACAATTAAAATTTTTAAAATCGTGGAAGGAACCGATATAAAACATACTAATTACCAATATGAAACATGATTCAATGAAATCAAAAATAATAGCGAAATATTTTTGAAGTGAAAACTTCTTTAGCGGCGTTGTACACTTTTTTGTAATGGGTAAAAAATGTAAAACTCTCGTCAGGACACGTGACCTGCTCGAAAATTCGTAAGACGGATGGAGAGTAGATAGTACGTCGCGTTTTCTGAGAGATAAACTTTTTAATGTAATATAAATTGTCATGTTTGTGTACTATAGCGCAATAAATATATATTGTATTCTATCACATAAATGATATTACTTTTATACTGATAATTAAATCAATTCGTGCAAAATTATTCCCTAACCATTCCAAATATCAAAAATGCACAACGCTAATATTCAAGTTTTAATTTCTGCCTGCACTCCCGGAGTGCAACCCGGCGTTTTTTTTTACATTAATAAGATTATTGAAATATATAATTTTATTCTTGCCTTCATAAGTGAGAAAAATTCCATTAAACAATTTCCAACACGGCTACTAGATTAATTTTCAATAAACTTAGAGAAAAAACTCACACAAACTGTACTGGTTAGTCAAAGAACCCTTGCGCAATAATGAGTTATGGAGTGGCGGCCGCGGGTAACTCCATAAAAGTATTGAGTACGGGTTATTGACAAATATTTATGGCGTATAAACAGGGGATAATTACAACTCTTTAACACGTAAAAAATGCCTCGTAGTAGGGTGCGACGTATCGGAGAGCGACACTGTAAAAATTTATCACCAACTTTGGCAGCCGACGGGCCCCGGCTCAACAATAAACTAATATATTATGTCATTCACTCCCTTTATTAACAATATTTTTTTAAAGTAACGCTATTTATTAATTTTTAAGTAAGTATATTGTTTTGTGAACACGCTTAATTTAATTTATTAATTAAATTAAGGATATCAGCTCATTTAATTCCATTTAAACTATTCTTTTATGAGTTATTAATTATAAAATAATATTATAAGAATAACATAATTACCAAATATGTAGGTATATATTTTAAGTTGTTGAACCATGCCGCAGATGTATTAGTAGTATAGTTGTAGCACGAATGGGTCGGCTCGACCGGGGGAGGACCACGCTCTCACAGAATACCTGCGTAAAATAGTTAATGCTGTTGTGTTTCGTATAGTGAGTGTAGAGAACCGAAGACCTTACTTTTTACTGGAAACGAGGCATTCCATCTTAGTCCTCACGGGTGATGTAGATATCTATGGGTCACAGTAACTATTTACTATCAGGTGGACTGTGAGCTCGTATATTACTCTTGTCATATAAATTTTTTTTAAATAAAAATGTACGTATGCTACTTCCGTTATCCATTAGACACAGCCTACAAAAGTCCACTGCAGAACATATAAGCCTTCTCTATAGATTGCCTCATAGATTTTGCCATAGTTGCCACGCTTTGCAAGCGGGTTGGTAACCGTTGTCTTTACAATTTTGAGTTGTTATATGGTACATACCGCTTCAAATACTGTTTCAGTTCCCCTCTCCGGCCTCTTACCACACCCTCGGCACAATACAGGGTAGTGGATATTCTCACACCGCCATAACACGGTTTTGCTACTTATAGAAGAAGAAAAATATACATATTTGTGTTTCTTGTCAAAATTCGAACAACGCAACACATGTAAATTAGGTCTGTCTGCCACTGGTGATTATTTTCTTATAATATTTAAGGTACCAAGTAGGTAAGTTATTTGAAATTACGCATACAGCACCGAATGATAAATGAAATTGTGAATTTTGTTAAAATTAAGTCGTAAAATATGCTTGGTTGAATTCGTATTCCGATAGAACCAGAATTTGTAAAAATTATAAAAACTAGTAGGTAATGCAAGTATGGCTCGCTCATAATTAGAACGTAGAGTAGGTGAGTTAAGGTGCAAAAGTTAATACATAGCAATATGACAACTTTCGATTTGTTAAAGTGATTTTTAATTTCTTTTAGAACCGAGTTCTCTGATTTTATATTTGTTTATTCATTTGCCGATAAATTTACATTGCAAATCTCCCAATGCGTATTTTGAATACACTATCGTAATTTTATTTAATGTTTTAAATCCATATTATTTCCTTGACGTAAGGTTAGATTTGCCTACTAGATGAGACATTAAAAGTTTCAGCTTAGGTCTAATATTGTAATTCCGCGCACATCACGAGTGCGGTTCACTGTGCGTCCTCGAAACAACGAGGAATGTTATTAAAAAGTTATGGGATAAGCCCGCGCTACGTGCTTCGCGACGCCTTCGTCCAATCACAAACTTAAATACGACCACCTTGAATAAACTGAAGTTATCCGTTGTCATTATTTACAGCTTAAGATTGTATTCTGTCACCCAATTTACGAATTTATTTAATAAAATACATGGTAACAGAATAATCTAAATTATAATACGAATATAAATTAGGTTTCCATATATAGCTATAGATTAAATGGTCACAGACGACAAATATCTTTCAACGTTCAATTAAGCGCGGCCGCCGCCCAAAGCCCCGCTCCGAATTAATTCCGCGGCTAAGTAGATAATATGGGGAAGGAGCTCCCTCCAGCGAGTTCTTCACGCCTCGAGGAGAACTTTCAATTATGATTTTGTCTAATTTTTAATTAAGTGCTCTCAAAAAGGCTTTTCTTCGGTGAAATTAATATTTGAATATAATTTGGGTGGAGCGAGCGGTCGGGGACTGCCGCTGGAGGAATAATTAATTCTATTATGTAGGTAAGTGGTCCGGTCGCTTCCGACACCGCACCGCTTTCTCTCCCTATATTTTCAGTATTACGGTGAATTTGAGCTAGCTTTTCGAAACTTCTGTCGTAGCATAACCAAATCGCATACCGACTGCGACCTCATATCCTATTTTCAAATGTAAATGATAATAAATTTTACATGGGAAGACATAAAGCACGGGTTAGAATAACTCTGCCCATTAGTAATTTGCGCAACAGGTCGGGGCGGAAGCGACCTGCAGTGGTGTGATTGCGACCAAATGTTTCCTCCGCAACGTCTGGCTCACAGTTTTTGCTGGTTTTTTTGTTCTCCTTTGCTGATAAGTATGCTATCGATAGGTTCGACTGCGTGTTTATTTAGGCCAAAACTAACCCATGACGGAAGTGATCCTGACAATCTTTTTCATGTATATTTAGCGATAGTCATAGGTGATTTCGTTATGATCTAAAGTAGTAGTTGACTATCTTATAATAAAACTATTAGTCAATATAAGTAAATAAGCAAACGTATTCAGGAAAAAAACGTACTCGTAGGTACAAATGTTTAATCTTTACAGCTGTAATTTTTTACCATAAAATTTAACATGTGTAGCTTTAGAACACGTGTACTAAAATATGAAATTAATGTATAATTGCTTTGTTTTAGGTGTGTCGGTAAGACCGTTGTCGAGTATGCGTCAAGAATCGTTGCCGATGTTAGCTGAGCGGTTGCTGGCCAGCCGCGCGGCCGCGCTGGTCGCTGGGCTTCCAGCTGAGCTATACTCAGGTGCTCTTCTGGCCGCGTGGCCGCCATCACCCCCAGCGCCACTGTTACCGCCTCCGGAACTGGAACGCGCACGAAAACGCCGACGCACGCCCAAATTAGATGATACCTCCACAACCGCACCTCCTTCACCACCATCATCAGGCTCCTCTCCCGGAGCTACCGACCCCCCTCGTGATAAACTGTTTACTTGCAAAGTGTGTTCACGTTCATTTGGCTATAAACACGTTCTACAAAATCACGAACGTACGCACACCGGTGAAAAACCTTTCGAGTGCGGGGAATGCCACAAACGTTTTACTCGTGATCACCACCTTAAAACCCATCTTCGCCTCCATACGGGCGAGAAGCCGTACAGCTGCCCTCATTGCCCCCGCCATTTCGTGCAAGTCGCGAATTTGCGGCGGCATCTTCGTGTGCACACCGGGGAACGTCCGTACGCATGCGCGCGTTGTCCAGCTCGCTTCTCAGATTCAAATCAACTGAAAGCGCACGCATTAGTTCATGAGGGTGATGCTCCATTTGCATGCCGCTGCGGAGCTAGATTTAGGCGACGACAGGCAGCTGCATTGCACCGCTGCGCTGGCACTGGCTGTGAACCCGACGCGCCCAGCCCGCCGGTGGCCGCAGGGGCTGACTGGCGTTGGGATGAATGGCCTGAACAGACGGAGCCCGAGGATCTATCGCTGCCTCGGAGGCCGGCAACGCCGGATTCTCCCACCGACCTGCGCGTGCACTCCGCGTAGTTGTCCCGCGCCACGCGCCGCTGAGCCGGTATATGAGTTCCTTTTGTGTAGATTCCGCAAAGTCGCTAAATCGCCAACGCTTGTGATCCAACTCGCCCATGCTATTTTTTTTGCTGAACCGTTATTTTAGGGGTACTACTTACTGGTAACATTTGCTCCATAAAAATCTTTTTAACAATTTGTTTGCAATTCTCCTTAATTCCTCAGCAAGACTACCGACGTAGTCGCGTTAGGTAGTCACCCATTGACTTTTTACAATTTCGCATTTGCAATGTCATAAAAAGTACACTTTTTCATCGTGTTACAGTTTAGAACTTTATTGTTGTGCCATTTGCATAATCGCAAGGCGAGACGCTGCAAAAACGAGTCCATTTTTATTCTTTTGTTTTGTAACTCATGGAACATAGAACACTATCTACAAAAGATATTTTTTGATTTATTGCGTCTTTGTTCGTCTCACGATAGAAAAACACGTTCGTTATGCTTGACGATCATCGATCTCCTTTCGACTTCGTCCCTCGCGATCGCCGAGCAGTAACCGGAATACGGCCGATCGGGAGAAGGCCACGACATTGCTTATTACTTCAGTTACAAAGAATGGTTAACAATCGGTGATAATTAGGTATTGATTCGATTCGAAGTTCCGCGCTATTGTGCGCGCCCTTATTCGTTTCGGCTCGCGATAACCGGTTCATGATGTGGCCCTTTCTTACCCGATTCCCATATTTTTATAAATCTTTTCAAATTTTACTTGTTTACTATTATGAACACATTAATTTCAATTTCTCAAGTATCGCGTAATGCGTAACTGATACTTTTCTATAGTAAAATTATAGGGGATGCTTATTTGGAATCAATGGAGCCTTACCGGTAGGTAATTACCGACCAAACGAGGCGCCCCGGGCGAGCGGGACACGGCTTAGGACGAAACGACCGAGCGCAATGTGCTTCTGTACATACTGCTATCTTCTTATAAAATTATTTATTATTTATCAATTAGTTGTAGGCAATCTATAACACTTATGACTGTTATGCGGTCACTTGAACACTGTATGTACATATTTTGTTAGTTATATACGTAGGTTGCTAAAAGATGGGTATTTATATAAGTAAAAATTATATGTGTAGAATTGATACAAATATGGCACCCAGCAAAAGCTGTGTGCATAAGTAAATTGGTGTCATGATAATGGTTTGTCAATGTGTAATGCGAGTTCATGTACACTATGAATTGTTCTTGTTAGGTAATTATATCTTAATAGTTATAAGGTACGGTCAAAATATTTAATGTGGAAAATGTATATATTTAGTACTAAAATACGATACAATTCTTAGTGCACATGGATCTTGTTATGTTTTATTTGATACGATGATGTAAATTATACTATAATGCGGTTTAGACTCCGTATGTAAGGGGTTTTGAGCATTATTGCAATTTGTTCTACGGGTATTAGTCTCCTACTAGTTGTAGCATGTTTATTTTGTTCGTTTTCGATGTGATTTCGTAACAGAAGCATTGTTCTGAACGTTTTGCGCACATGAGCTAACGGATCTATTTAAGCAGTATTGATTGTTGATTATTATTATTTTATTTTTAGTCGTAAGCTTTCAGGGGCTGTAGATTTTCGTAGATTAATGAAGTAAAAATTCTACTTACGATATATTTTTTTCCAAAGAAATGATTGGTACAAAATTAAATGTGTACAAATAATTAATACTTGGTTAGGAGTTGTAATTTCATGTTGGAATGTTACAATATTACAGTAGTTAGTGTAATGTTAGCGACAGTGCCATTATCTACCTCATTCGTATTGTATTGGTGCACAGGTACTGTGTCAGGGTAAATAGCCAAAGTTCATTTAGCCTTAAAATATACAATCGTGTAACCAAAAGGAAATAAATACAACCAAAAGGGATCTTAACAACATAGTTCACCAATTTTAAAACTTAAGACTGATTTTATTGCATTATTCAACCATTAATTATTAATTTAATAGATATTTATTACATTACCGCAAAATGAAATTACCTTACCTACTTAAACTTTTTACTTGCAAGAAAACGCAAATCTATTTCGGATGTAAGATTTGCAATCAACTTGAGTTCCTATTTTATTAATATTTTTTAAAATTTTATTGTTCTCATATTTTTTGTTTATACATATTAGTTAGTCAATGTAAAACAGCATTGTTATCTACAAGGCTGTGTAGTAGTGTTATGTTATTTTGACTTGTAAACCCAGCTCGCACCAACTACCTCATTATTCGGAATACAGGTGTCCTTTGATGAAAAGGCAAACTTAGAATCGACAAAGTGTTTTAAATGTACAAATTATTATAAGACATTATTTGTGACATAGTTATTGTACGACGAATATATATTATGTATTTCATTATCAATGTCCAGTACATAACTATTAAATAAAAAAACGATGTTTGTTATTTGAAATTGTGTTTTCATATACCTATTTTAAAAACAAAAAAAGTGTATCTTATACGGAGAAGTTGGATTAATATTGTAGAAAGGTCAAGTATCCTGCTGATGACTATACTTCCCATTGTAATTAATTTAATTTCTGTGCGTGTGTGCGGGCTGAACATGTCCTCGAAATATTTTATTTCTCAGACATGCAGATTCCTCTAAGTTTTTCATTCTCTGCCGAGCACGTGATAGAATATTTTTTCCTAAAATTGCAATTAATAACTTTATTGGCACAGGCGGGCTTGCTTCGAACCCGGATCGCTCGTGTAACAGTCCACTTGTGAACATAGGCCTCTCTCAGAAAAGGAGAATTTCTTGTAATCACCATATTTGGCTAGAGGATTGGCTATCGCACATAGCAGAACTCTAATACCTTTCACATTTCTCCCATTTCGTAGTCTGGATATATGTGAGATTGCGCCGAAATTTTTTATAGGCTACAATATCTTTGTCGTTCCATATTCATCTCTTACGACAACCAGGAGGTGAGATGTGGTGATGTTTTCTTTTATTTCACCACCACAAGACTAAACCTTCATTAAATGGAACTTAAATAACGTGAAAATAAAATATAATGACAAATATTTTCAAAACAACACAATAACATCAATAATACTCTTTCCCGACAAGACTAGACGCTAATAGAAAAAGATAATGACAGGACAATTAGTCATTTAATACAAATTAAATGCATTAAATACAAATATTGACAAACAAATCCAGAACGCAAACATTTTCGTTAATTGTTACCTTACTAAAGGTGTACCGAGTCCCATTTACGACATTCCGTGGGTGTCGGAAGAGGCTGATAATAATGTTCTCTAGACCAAATTTTGGTCAAGGTGGTCACTTTCAACGGAGATTAGTCATCTGCACATACTTCTGATTATAGTCCAAGTGTGCGCACAAGCACTGGTGCACTCTGAGGGAATACCTCACTTTCAAAGTGCAATGGGACGGCAAACTGAGACGACCGGAGAGAGATCAACGGCTTTACGTGCTTTTTTTTTCAAGACACAGGGGTGGAACACCACCAGTTTTCTAACTCCAGGCTGCTACTAAGAACTTCTGGACAAAAACTGAACACCTATTTTTGGCCCGACCCGGGATTTAACTTGGGACCTCATGATTAGCAAAGCAACGAAGCAGTCGGGTATACATATATATATATTTTTTTATATTTTTTTTTTTTATATATATTTTTTTTTTTTTTTTTTTTTTTTTATTTTTTTAAAATTTAAAGTCTCTAATGTTGCCGGATGAAATGTACCACAGATCACTTTTCGTTTGAGTTCTTTTCAATCGGTTCAGCCTTTCGGAACGTTAGCCCCGACAGGCAGACAAGTAGACGAAAATTTGTAACCCACTCCGCTCAATAAAAGGCAGTTATTTGAATATTTTTTTAACATTAGGGTGACAAACGAGCACACAGTCCACCTGAAGGTAAGTGGTTACTGCGGCCCATAGTCATCTACATCTATCGTCGATTACGAATCAAAATACATGTAGAAGTAAGGAGCACCAACTCACATAGTAGAATAGTTGAAATCGTGGCCATGTGTAAGCAGTAAATAACAGTTCAAAAACTCTCTACAACAGAGCTGGAGTAGCTATTGGGATGAAATGAACTTAGCAGTTGTCGACGGTTTGAAGTGTGCTGCTAAACTGCTCAGTAGCTCTAAAATCTAAAATAATTTTATTTAGTAAATATAACTTCAAAAAAGACGTCTATTCCACTAATATTTTTCGGCACGTTCTTTAAAATTTAGCCCGTAGCTATAGTGGCGCCACCCTTATTTAACTGTTTTCTATGGACACTTTTTAATACACAGTCTGCAATCCTTACTTCTACACTCCATAGATGGAATGCCTCGTTTCCAGTAAAAAAAGGTCTCCAGTTTTCTACACTCGCCATACGAAAAACACAGCAGTGTTAAGCTGCTATTATACGCTGGTATTCTGTGAGAGCGTGGTCCTTCCTCGGTCGATCCGATCCATTCGTGCCACAAACATACCAGTAATATAGCTGCAGCATGGCTCTACTACGTACAATATTACAGACAGACATTTCAACTTAATTTATATATATATATATATATATATATATATATATATATATATATATATATGTTAGAAGTGGTTCATGACAGTGGTTCCACCATGACCTTAGAGTTCACGGTCTGCACCCTAACATTAGGCTACTGTCGCTTCAGAAGCAGACTTTATTACACAAAAAAATGCGTTTTGTTTATGGAATCGTACGTAAGCATAATATTACACAAGAATTCCGAGTGAATTTATTTAAGAAATGGGAACAGCAATAACAAAGGTTTAGGGTGTGATGTGGGTAAGTTAGCTCCATTCAGGAGTTAAGTAGTAAAGGGAGGAGTGTAATTTATCTAAGATCGACCGTAAGTAATGAGTTGTCCCGGCGATATAACGACAGTCCTGCTATTATATCTCGCACGAACACGAACAAGACTTTCTTATTTCTACATATATATTTATTTATGAATATA